TATTTAAAAAATAATAGCAAAATATTTTGTTACACTGTTTCCTTTTTTAGAGAAAAAAAGGGGGCACCATAAAAAAACCCGCATATATGGATTTATATTATGACATTAATTAGATTTGTTAATCAACTTATATCGAATACCTCAGTAAGACATGGATTTTGATCTCACAATACCAACATAATTGAAAAAAGCAAAAATGATTCAGCAATAACACATATTTGTTATGATTGGGCCCAAAGTGTTGCAGCTCCATTTTCTTCTCAACAAGTTAGATCAATCTATTTCAAATCCCCTTTTATCATACATCTTTTTGGTATATGTAAAACAGATGATGGTATAAATATTCAATCAAATTATACTATAGGAGAAAATGAATTACCAGAAGGGGTATCAAAAAAGGGGACTAACACAACCTTGAATATGGTTTTTGATTTTCTCCAAAAGATTGGTCATGTTGGTAAAAAAAATCTTTATGTTACATGTGACAATTGTCCTGGGCAGAATAAAAACAATTTGTCACTTTGGTTCTGGTCATGGTTAGCAATGTTGGGTTGGTATGAAAATATTTATATAAATTTCATGATACCTGGACACACAAAAATTCATTTGTGATGCAGAATTTGGATCTATTAAAAAAGCATACAAGGACAGTTGTATAAGTACTGTTGATGATGTTGAGATGGTTATAAACAAATCATCTATACATAATAAATCTATTAGATATGATAATGGGATAAGTTGGAAATGGAAAGACTTCAATTTTATCATTTTAGATCTTTACCAAATATAAAAAAGCAACATTTATTTTCGCTTTAGTAGCTTGCCAAATAATATTGGAATAGTTTATTTTTCAAAAAAAACTGGTGAAGAATATTCTTATCCCTTAAACTGGCTATCATACAAATTTGTATGATTAAAATTTTTTTTATATAGAAAATTTTTCTGATAATCATGCTTTCTAATTATCAAATGATATTTGAGATTTTATACATTGATCTATATATAGAAATTCGGCCATTATTATTATGGGTTTTGTAAAACTGTAAAAAGTCTACTGTGTCCGTGTCGATAATTACCTTAAAAATTGATATATTCATAATAAAATTTTTTATTGTGCGATTTGGTTAATTTTGATTTGTGGAATTTTGTAATTTACCAATGAATTTTTCGAAATTCCCTTATTCGAAAATGTGGACAGTTTAAGGGATAATCTTTTGAAGAATACAAATTTTGATAAAGATACACAATTAAATTTTCTTGAAGTTGTTCCTTTATCAGAAGACTGAAAAAAATATTTATTTAATAACATTCATCAGCATGTAGATAATCCATATAAAGATATTCTCTGTCTGAACCCTAATTAAATTTTATATTTATCATGAATTTTATGTATTTTATGTATTTTTGAATATTATTAATTCGTGGTCCACCGATCAACGATAGAAACTCACTAATTAAAACCGGGCGATCGACATATATAAATTTAAGAAAATGTACAGTGCGGATCATCTATACTCAAAAGTTAAAATTTTTGAAATATTATGTGATCCACACATTGGATTTTTAAAAA